AGTTGAAGTAAATCTAAAGAGGCTCCACTCTGACAAACTTTATGTCACAGCTGCCTTTAGAAACAGTCGATTTGTGCTTTGGGTGAAAAATGTCTCGATCTGGTATCAGGTGTAGGCTTGAGTGAGGAGTTTTTTGATTGGAGGATATCAGAGTACTTATCAACTTTCATCTCTGTTGTTTTTCATCAGCTGCAAAGGTAACGTTGGGTGTAAGGTAATAGCACACAGCTTTTAACATATCAATACAGACATGCATTACCAAGGCTATTTCCAAACCACTGGGGCTAATTTTATATCTCGCTGATAACTTAAAAAGACGATTTTTTTTCCTCTTGTGCCGCATCTCACCAGTATCACTGTATCAATGACAGAGGGTTAGACAGGTGACATCGTGTTCCAGCATAAGTTCGCTGCTGCTTTCAGTGTCACCGCGACTCCAAATTCAACATTTAGCCTCATTGCAAGGCGTTTTTCTTCTAGCTTTATACACATATTCAAAATATTATTATTTTCCTTTCTGTTTGAGACGTCCTAGATGAATTGATGATAATGAGTTTATATTAACATAATATACATGAGTTTCAAACTGTAATTTTTAATGTTCTTTATTTAAAAAATGGTTGAAAAGTCATGCTGCAGTGTTCTGGTAAGATGTTTTCATTATCAAACCATTATTGATCTCTATAAAATGAACATAACTTGATTAAAACTTTTGTTTTTCTTGCATCTCCATCTTTTTTCCTTTTATGGTTTTTTTGTCCAACTCACACTGTGATGCTAGTGTGTTCAGCTGGATAATCAGATGGGGATGAATGTAGTTTGTGGGAAAAAAAATCACAAACTCATATCTGACGGAGTGATATTTTGCCTGTACTGATGCAGTACTGAGCCAGATTAAAGAATGAGTAAAACGAATGTTTTAATCTTTTCAACTGACATTTTTATTGAATGTGTCATGCGTCTTAAAGCGACCAAGGGCTTGTTTTAAACCCCTGTCAGAGTCACGTAAGGAAATCGGGGGGGGGGGGGGGGGGGGGGGGGGGGGGGGTTCATTAGGAACAGACTGGTCCAACTTCCTCTGCCAGGGAGGAAAAGGAGAGCACAGATTTGCAGAGAGAGAAATGAAGAGAGGTAACAACCAGAGAATCGAGGCAATAGCAAACGGAGCAGGCGAGAGTGGGAGTTCAGCGGTGACCGGTCAGAAAAAGGCAAAAATACAGGGAGAAAATAGAGCGGGAACAGAAATGGGGTAGGGGAAGGGAAAGAGTGCAGTGGGCAGGGGAGTGGAAGGAGAGAGACAAAAACTGAAGAGCAGAAAGAGAGAGAGCGTATGCTGCGGTGCCAGTTTATTCTGTGACAGCTTGACACCACAAATCAAACTAAGAAATGAAGACAAGTAACGAGACAACCGTCACCAGGATCACTGCCAGTATTGCCTGTTACCTATTGGCTGCGGCACTCTAAAGCGGCACTCTTCATTGTGGCTGTCAAGCTGTGGAGTGCTCTAAATGAAAACAGACCTCTTCCCTTCTGTTTTCCTCTCTTTTGTAGCAGAGGTAAGGCACGGTAGGTCGAAGTGGAACTCTGTCCTCAACACACACAGGGACGTATTGTATATTTCTTTCTATTGAGTGAAAGAGTTGGATAGCGTCTCTGTTCCTATTTCCCTCTTTGCACTGGAAGACATTCACACCCACCTTCTGATAAATGGCTGCTGTACACAAAAAACACACATGTGGGTTCACACACACACACCCTCTAAGACTCACCCATACAAACTCGCTTCATATTGGGAAGGATTTAGTAGCTCACCTGTGGCTGCGATAGCCCAACTGTCTCAGAAATTGGCTGTAGTTGGATGCCGCGCAGATATCTTTATTTTATAGAAAAGAAAGATGAGAAGCACCCTTTCATTAACGTATCCTCCTGAGTATTTGTAGTTGGGTTTGGATGTATAGAGGAGCCTTATTTAGTAGACTTTACTCTTTATAGGCAACGATTTGCAAAAACATTTGCACTCTTGTTCCCACAGTGTTTAAAGGTCGTCGGATTGTGGTGTGAATATAATCTGTTAATGTGACTCTCAAATGTGCCACACAGCAGTGAGCATGTTGGTGTTAGAGGTAGCGATGGCAACTTCAAAGGTAACGGAGAGCAGGGTGGACTGCGAATGCCTCCAGCAGCCCGTACACATATCGGTAAAAGGAATTAAAATGATAATAAAAAAAAGGAAATTGGTACTCATTTTCCAAAAGAAATCATTTAGCTTTTAAATGACTTTGTGTCACACACCAGTCTGTTTTCTTATCTGTCTCTTTCACCGGGGTTTACTCGCATTCCTGATTCCCAAAAGCCCTGATTAGTCCAGTGTGGCTAAGCTACTGGAATATGTGATTAGCTGTTTTGCTACTTGTTTTAATAAAGAAAGATAACAGAGAAATTGGACAAAATATTATTTTTTGGTCTGAGTACAGATTGAAGGATATCAAGGAGGTTGAATTTCAAGTTTGACAAAAAATTTGCAGTAATTTAAAACTTTAAAATACGTTATTTTGTTATCTCATAAAGTAATTGTTAGATCTTATTAAAATGATAGGTAAGACTTTACAATAAGGGTCCCTTTATTAATGTTAGTGCATTATTAAGCATTAATTAAAAAAAAAGGATCCCTTTATTACCCTTACTGTTATTGTTAACTATTAAGTGTCCTTACAGTTAGGGCAAAGGCCTGAAGGGTGGGTGGGGATGTGTTTGCTTAGTAATGCATTACTTAATATGGTTAAGCAGTTTTTAATACTTTATTAATCGGAAAGTAGCAGGTTCGAGCCCCGCTCAGTCTGTCGCTGTCGTTGTGTCCTTGGGCAAGACACTTAACCCACGTTGCCTGCTGGTGGTGGTCGGAGGGACCGGTGGCGCCAGTGCTCGGCAGCCTCGCCTCTGTCAGCGTGCCCCAGGGCAGCTGTGGCTACATTGTAGCTCATCCCCACCAGTGTGTGAATGTGTGTGTGAATGGGTGAATGACTGATTGTGTTGTAAAGCGCCTTGGGGGATTCCAGGACTCAAGAAGGTGCTATATCAAATACAGGTCATTTACCATTTTACCATTAGTTTATTAATGCTTAAAAATGCATTAAGTATTATTTATAAAAGGACCCTTATGCCCTGTCAACATGTAGCCAAGTATCTCTCAAAATGAAGATAATTTTCTACAAATCGTCCTGTCATCCACACAAAAAACGCAGATTTACGAAACGAAAATGAATTATTTTAAAATCTCTGGCCAAAGTGAAAATTGACATTTTTTATTCTATTACATTCTGCATGGAAACGAGTTAGCCGAACAAAACCGGTAGGACGTTCGCATTCTGGAAGTGACTACACCACGGAAGCAGTCTTTTGACAAGACCAACATCACAAAACAATGAAACACCATAAAACAGGACAATACGTACCATAGAAGCTGTGCTGCAGAGTTGTTGTGGTCCATTCCTTCAGCCGTTGTGGTTATCCTGCTTCAGTTCCATCTGCTTCGCTCCTGCCAGCCACTGTTTACTGCTTGTGTTGCTATAAGCTGACAGGAAGAATGTCGCCACCTACTGTACTGGAGTGGAACTAACTTTATATGAAAGGCCATTTTTCTAATGTTCATGTAAACTAGGGTAAAGTCTCCCAGCTTAATACAATAAGATCGACCTGGATTGACTTAGATGTCGGTCAGTGTGCATGTAACCGCACTGAGTGAGATATTCTGGGGTAGATAATAAACGATAGAGGCAAGCAGAATCAGTTGGTGTATTAAACTGAAGCGGTTGTCAGAAATCAACAGTTAATTGATTACAGTCTAATTATTTTAAATCCACCATCTGTCAAATCCTGCTTTACACGGGTATATTATGTCCACTTTGGGTACTTTTCTGTTAAGATATCCAACCTAAAGTCAGTTATCCTCTAGTGTGATGAAGACATTCATCATTACTAATTCTTGACACACAGACTCGTTCAACAGATCCACCATTATTAAGGCAATTGAAATTCTAATAATATCACGCCACCCACCCACCCACACTATTGTTCCCACATGAGAAAAAAAAAGAAAGAAAATGGGAGGTTTAAGCATTTTGGATGATGCCAGGAGGAGACCTGACTTATCTGAACAATCAAGGTTTATCAACCCAAGCCAGCCTTTTCGGCAGGCATCTGTTGCATTGTCATTTGAAGTCACCTCATAGGAAGACACCATTCCAATCACTGTTGCCAGTTCTTTCTTTGTTGATCCTTTTGTTGTCACACATAAGCCATTTCTCACCATGGGAGGGAGACATAAAGGAACACAACAAAGAGAAAAAGAATTGATTTGTTGTGTCAGGTATAATAACTGATATTTGAATACTTTGCAACCACACTTGGAATTGTTCTATTGAGAAAGGTAAGCTTCTCTTGAATTATTCCCTGGATGATTCCAGCTTTTGTGGCTAGAGTCACAGGTGGCTTGCTCCTTTCTTGCTTGGCTGAGTCTGTCTGAGCATTTTTGATAGTAAATGTCAGAAGCAAGCTGAGTGGCGGCAATTCTCAGACCCTCACAGAAATGTATAGTGGCAGTTTTATAAAAGTAGACCGTTTGTGCATACTTAGGTAACCATAGCATGAACCGGCTCACCTACTCAAACTGTTGTGTGGTCAAACAGGAACAGGTTCGTTGTCATCTACAACTACACCCACACATACACAAGGCAGGGCTCATGCTGAGGAAAAAGTCTCTCTAATAGGGCGTGGTGGGACAAAAAAACATCTTCCATCTCGATCTCCCCGTTTTCCTTACTACTTTCAGCCGCTGGTCGGAACAGATTTTTATTTTTTCCTCCCAAATATGCCGTAAACCTGCTTCTATAATTGCATACGATCTCTTGTCTGCTGAATTTACCAAAAAGAAAGCCAAAGAATACACGAGGCAGAAAAAATACTAAGTATTCTATAAACACCTCTCCTCTTTTCCTTGACAGATCAATCGAGCACCGAGCTTTGGAACCGATCAGAAGATTGATTACGATGTGAAGAAAGGAGTGCTGCTCAATGCTCTCAAGCTCTTAAACATCAGGTATTGTTTCTCACTGCAACAGTACACACACGCACGCACGCACACACACACACACACACACACACACACACACACACACACACACACACACACACACACACACACACAAACGCACGCACGCACACACACACACACACACACACACACACACACACACACACACACACACACACACACACACACACACACACACACACACACACACACACACACCTATATGCATCATGAAAGATGCACAAATTGCATCAAGGAGCTCATTAAGTTCCCAGAAACAAGCACATCTCAAGCCAAAGGATTTTTTTTGTTTACGTTTTTTCTTATTTTTAATTTTTACGAGCCTAAATGCTTGAAGGCTCTAGTCAATTCTTGTATTTTTTTATTTCTGAAATTTTCATAATGACTTTGATGCACGGTGAAATTCAGCTCTTATCTCATTTAGTTCCAGACCAAAGAGGCAGGAGTAGTAGTGTGAACATAACGAGAGAGTTTCTGCTTCCAACACTTAAATTACCGTTGCTGTAAATTTGCATGGTGGTGTGTCTCTTTGATGAACACAAAGACATAAATGGCTGAGGTACAAAGCTACGTCTCTGTTGCATGCTTTGTGTTTCTTTGTAAAAGTCAGATGCTGTAAATGTGTAAGTTTGCGAATGTGTCACGGTTAATCAGCCGTTTTAGATCTTCATGTTTTACCTTTCTCTGTAAATTTATTCAGCCTTGCTGTGGTGGTGTTCTTTGCTTTGTTGTGTATGTGTTTGCACTTTTTTTGGCTTACGGTTTCTTTCCTTATTGTGTGATATATTTCTGTATATACAGTGCTCACGCATGTGTGTGTGTGTGTGTGTGTGTGTGTGTGTATGTATGTGTGTGTTTGTCCCCTGGCTACAGTGACTGTGCTCACTGATTGATCACGGTACACGAGACCTCTGGATCTCTGCCCTCTTGTTTGCTTTCTCTCTCCTTGTTCTCTTCTTACTGCCCTAAATATAGTCTCAGCTCTACTAGTCACACACACACACACACACACACACACACACACACACACACACACACACACGCACACACGCACGCACGCACGCACGCGCGTGCACACACACACACACACACACACACACACACACACACACACACACACACACACACACACACACACACATTGGTCATATTTGATCTCGCCACCAGCCCTTGTTTAAACTCTCTCCATCCTCGTCTCTGACTTCAGTTGCCACAAACAAATCTTTTATCAGAATGATTTCTTGCATTGCAGATGGTTGTAGTTTTTTCACAGATGTCATTCATGACAATTTAAGTTTCAGTAGTCTTGAAAGGCAGCAAGAACACGTTTCAGTTGAGCAAACTGCTTGTGCTCACTGAGCGAATGAGTGCTTAGTTGGACTTTCTCCTTATTTAGTAATGGCTTTGCCTCCCCAAAGGAGAGGGTAGCTAGTGTGTGGAGCCTGGGTTGGCTCTTGAGTCTGCTCTCAGCACCAAGTGTATCAAGTGGGATCAATTCAGACCCATCCGGCCATGGACATTGAATGACCTCATACCCCCAACAGCGCTCAATACTCAATTTAAAGGGCCAGTGATTGACTAAAATGAATTTCCTTATTTCTCCAGAACACAGTAACCAACTCGCTCGGAATATGCTGCCTGGTCCTGATAATTGTTGGCTTCTTTAATTTTGACTCCATGCTTCTTATTTTATTATTGAATAATCTTTGTTCCTCACTTCATCACTTAGGGATTACATTTACAGACTGTGAAACATTTATAACAAATAGCAAACATAAAATAAAGTTTGTCATTGCATCTTTGCCTTCATTTATTATTATATATTACACAAACGGCATCCTGTAATAATTAAATAGAAAAAATGACTTTTTTGGTGTTGGGGAACAGGAAGTCTAAGCATCTTTTGCATCCTGTTCTGCTGGTTTTGCCTTGATACAGAGCTAGTGATAAGAAACGCAACCTGGCCCAGCAAAAAGCTGAAGCTCAGAGACGGTTATATGGACACGGCTCCATGAAGAAACTCTCGGCGTCTTCCTCAGACTGGGAGAAACAACGTCACACACTGGAACGAAGAAAAGAGGAGCTGGTAAGGCACAAACAAATAATACTGAACAATGACATAATTAGATTTTGTTCCACTATGAGTAAAACAATTAATTTTTCAATTTTTGAGGATGAAGTTTAGAATCTGTTAAACTTTAATATAAAGTAGAGTTTGTTGAGAGTGATGGTCTTCCAGCCATGAGCTATGATCAAAATTCATAAAACACCTTTTAGTTAGAAATGTCCTGATTAAGATTAATATTTTTTCTATTACTGATGTAAGTGGCCCATCCAGCTGTTTGTAATAGCTGGGCAGATCAGCAATCGGCCCTTGCTACCTTCCCATGCTACCTTCACAAGAAGGAAACAATTTTAATGTAGGCAGGGATCGTGTTAAGTGGATATTTTCCGTTTTTGACCGTTTATTTTGACGGAGAAATTTCAAGGCTGTTGGTCATTCTGACAGACTGGAATTACTCTGATGCATACAGGTCTGCAGACATTTTTAACGTTATGCACAGACAAGATCTATCAAGAAAATGTTCCCATCAGATCATCTGAGCATTATCTCAGACTTGGACATCATGATCAGAGCTGCTTGCAATCACCGCGCTGAGGAGCTGTACGAGCAGCTTGGAGCGTGTTTGATTGGTTAAAGCCCAGCAGCAGAACCAGAACACAGCAGGTAAACTGTTCCTACTTTAAGTGAAATCGTTTAATCGTAACATTAATATGTTACTGGACACGCTCAGCTTGATTAGACAAAATTTGAATGAAAAATGAATGAAAATCAAATTGTGAATTTTTATTTATTATTATAGGAGAAACAAAAATTATGGGAAGAAACAGTCATGACCATTTTTTAAACTATGTCGGTCAAAATGAAAACAAAGATGTCCAGTGCGACCTCAGCATGTCGGTATTGTTTCTGTAGCTGCTTGTAACTTATATTGATAGTAACTTGTTTATTTAAGGTTCATCCAGAATCTAAAACCTGGCGCAGCGTCTGTGTTAGTGGAGTCATGTTTTTGAACGGCAATTTTTTTACTTTTACTTGATTATAAATATGTTGCAGTAGTGCTATGCTTACTCGAGTGATATATTTTCAGCAATAATGAAACTTCCGAGCTCTGTTTGTTTCCTTTGTTGTTGTAAACAATGTTGTAGACAATTTGTGAAAATACTGATTTCTAGCCTCCTTCATAATTTTATTCCTGTAAGGAATTCATTTGGTCTTGTTCTTTTTATCCATCCCTTTCGCTCTTGTTCCACTTTAACATGAGCTGCGGCGAGTCATACACCTAAAATGGCGCTAAGGGGGTGTGGTTGACACGCAGGTCACGTGTCTGACAAGGACCAATGGATTAGCAGCTGCATAGCCCAGCTTCATGTGCGAAGCAAGGGATAAACTCTGCCTGCCCAAAGTGAAGCCAATGAGGAAGTGACAAAAATGGCAGTTCCCTCCTTATCCACTAGGTGGATTTCCACTGCTCCAGAAAGCAGCAAGTTTCCACCGACTCCCATGTTAAAAATGCCAACTTCACAGCAGTAATAAACATGTTTACAGCCTGGTACAAGAAAACAGTTTAGTTTTAATATGTCAAGTTTACCATCTTGACAACTCTTAGGGGGGTGGTGTTTTTTGTAACTCCCTAATCTACACGTAATTAAAGCTTGAAAACGTAAATACTTGGGGGCGTGCTCATTTGATTGACAGGCAGCCGGTGAGCTGTCGGTGCTAGCAGCTTGGTCCAGGGAAGGCCTCAGCCTTGGCCTCACCTTGAGAGTGTTCTACCCATAAAAGTAGAGGGTAGCATAGATGCTCAACCACGGTTTGTTGTCTAAAGCCCCTGCCAACCTCCATTAGCTTTACTTAGCCCAGTTTGTTTCAAAGTTTGATGGGTGTCAATCATCTGCCACCACTCTCACAGTCCCGCCCTCAGCTCCATTTTTGTATTTTCCGGGATTAATGAGATGCGTGACACAGCCAAGATAGCGGTGGTGGGAACTGCCTACTGGGCTTCAGTTAAACTCTTCAGAAAACTACGGATGATGGCACGGAGGGTTTATCCATTACATACATCGCCAATGGTGTGAAGCCAATAAATATTTTGGGGATGTTTTTAAAGACAAAATAACAATATAACAAGGTTAAAAGCTCCAAAAAGTTGATTTTGCGTGATACAGGCCCTTTAAAGAGAGTTAATAAAAGTAGTTGTTTTATTAAAACGTATTAGAATAATTGAATTAAGAACAATCATGTTGATAGGGAGAAAAGAGCTTCAGCTAGATGGAGTCTTTAGGTTCAACTGGCTGTTTTAAAATACTTTTTGCTTTTTTAGTGCAGTGTTACAAATAGTTGAAGGATTTCATGACAAGGACCAAGACCAGCACTGATATGACTGAACTGTACTGATCTTTCAAACCAAAGCACATGTCAATCATCATGCCGCTGTCATTGAGTGCCGCTTGTTGCATCCACAAGTGCAAAGAAAATAGCAGAAAACCAGTTTTAAAGTCAGGAAATTTCCTCGTTCGGTCCAAAGAGACAAAACCATCTGGATTGGGTTCTTCAGCGGACAGTTCACCTAGCATGGAGACCTTAACCTGTTGAGCAGCTCAAACGCTGTGTCAAGCAGGAAAACATTTCACTTTAAATAGCAGCAAGTGGTCCCTTCAGCTCCGCTATGTTGACAGGCTTCACTTCTCATGTAAAAGGAGAAGTGACGCAGCGTTGTGGTAAACACGTTGTTGCCCCATTGTAGGCTGAACCTGTTGGTGATCAACAAATTCAAATCAAAAGGCTGGAAAATCGAAAACATTCAACAAAATGGAACCGAGTTTTAGACGAAAAATTAAGTATGCCGCTTTAAACATTTGAACAATGCATCAGATCACAAGAAGAGAAGTGATGGTTCAAATGAGAAGAAAGGTAGAAAGAATAAAAAATGCACTTACTTTTTATTTCATGTCAAAAGAGTCAAAGTTTTCTGAGACAGGCGTACTGTTTAATTATTTTTTCTTTCAAATGAAAGAATCATGGGAGCTTTTCTCATCTACAGGGTGGAAAGTGGCAGCCACTTGTGCTTTAATGCCTCCCACCTCCTTTGATTAGACTTTTGATAGAAACGCCGGTAATCAGTGGGAATAAGGAACAAAAACTGCCAGGGCGCTCTTTTCAAAAGGCCACCACCTCATCTTTGAGTGGTGTTTTGGCTGAAGCATAAGATCAGGCTCTGGACCGCTCAAATCACTCCGTACTTAATGATATTGCAGTGCTAGTTGCAAAGTGGTCACCTCCTCTCTGCTTTATGACAGTTTCACCAGCCGAGGCACACGCTTACACCTTTATAATGCACTATCGAGAGTGTAAAATAGAAATGATGAGTCATTGATTGAAGGGACCCATTTTACCTTTCTTGTTGGTGACAGTTAATTTTTCCTTTGGTGTTTTTCTGCTTTTAGAAAGAACGACTTGCACAGGTTCGCAAACAAATTTCCAGAGAAGAACATGAGAATCTACATCTGGGGAATTACAGGTAGGAAAGATATGACCATCTGGCAACAGTGGGTCCTCTCTTCAGCAGATCCGCCCACTGTCTCTGTGCCCGCTTTCTTTCATTCCTGAGTACAGCTGCAGATTGTCAGACTCTTGTCGCAATCAATATTGCCGATGACAGAAGGAGCAAGAGAAAACAGTTCTGAGAATTTAACAAACTGCATTATTGCAAGTTAAATTGAGAAACAGAAAGAGGAAGTTTGTAATAGCACAACTAACTGTTCCTTTAGGCAAATTCATAATTTTGCAGCATTTTAGAAACTAAATTTAGCACATAAACTTTGCTTCCCAGCTGCAAACCATCTTCTCTTTCTTCCACGCTGTATTTTTGTTTCTTTCTAAAACTCCAGCTGGTGCTCTGGAAGAAACTGAGCGTGTCGATTTCTAACCTCACAGATGGAGCAGATTTACCTTACAGCATGACAGCAACTTCTGATTTACTGCTTGTCCTGTGTAAATTGTTCCTTCTCCTTTTCTCTCAGCTTTTCTTCTGTCTCCGTTTCTTTACCCAGCATGTAAACACCTACAACTATTCCAACTTCTGATACATGTTGTTTCTCTCAACTGCGTGCAAAAATATAACATATAACATTCATAACCATGTGACACACTCACCTGTCTCACTGGCTCCCTAAGTCTAAGGGACTTCTTGACTTATCACTTGACTGGTTGCCTGGTAAGAATGCTGCTCCAGGTCTGCATGAAGTGCTGTCACCTCCTTCCTGCTTCTCGACAGGCTGCCAGACAGTCAATCAGGCGGGCTGAGGTCTGTCTGGAGCACTCCTAATAGAGACCTCTTAGCATTCAAACGATGCCCTGGCGCTGCAGTGAACTCTGATTAACACACTGCTTCTCATTAGATGAGTACGAGTAATGAACTCACTTACATTTGGCTATTAGATCAAATCTGTATCGGGTACAAGTAAACCAGGACCCTATGGCATTCACAAGAAACTCAGCTGAGAGTTTGCAGCAGCTGTGGATATTTATTTATGATGTTAAATGTTGAAGTAGAAAATGTGCTTCCTTCTGCGGCTCAATTAGGGACAAATAGAGGTGTAATTAATTAAATTAATTCATTCATTATGAGGAAACCATAGTGGGAATTCAGGTTAAAGTGCAATAAAATGTGGGGCTTGCCATAAACATTGAATGTTTATATATATATATATATATATATATATATATATATATATATATATATAAGAATGTAAATGTTGGGGCAGCCTTGTTAATCTTCATGACTTTCCTGTATAAATTGTTGTTTTTTATGATAAAATTAGTTCGGTTAAATATATCTTGTAGGACACACAGTGATATTTGAGAAGTGAAACAAAGTTCATAGGATTTACACAAACTGTGCAATAATTGTTTAAATAAAATTAGGCAGGTGCATAAATTTGGGCGCCACAAAAAATGAAATTAACTCACTATTTATTAGATCCTCCTTTTGCAGAAATAACAGCCTCTAAATCAGGGGTGTCAAACTCATTTTAGCTCAGGGGCCACATTGAGGGAAATCTAGTCCCACGTGGGCCGAACCGGTAAATTAAAAACAAATTCAGATTGTTTTCTTTGTTTTAATACAATCAATATCAAACAAAGCTGGAGCCTGAGGACAGCATATCCAAAATAGTACAACACCTGAAGTGTACTTGAAAATTTGAAAAAAATCAAAAAATCAATGAATAATAAAAACATTCCTTAGTGATTCAGAGCTTACAGATCACATGGCTAGATCAGTTTCATGCAGCACTTAAAGTATACTTGACTCATTTTACTTTACATCTTTTAGCTTTCACCAGCACATCAACGTCAGAAGTCACATCCTGAGTGGCGGCCAACTTCAGGATGTGACTCAAGTTCTTGTGTGAGCCTTGAGCACAGCTTTGTTTTATTTATACTCATAACAGAGAAAACTTGCTCACAATGATACGTTTATTTTCACTCTACATTGTAAAGTATGAAAATAAAGTTTACACAACCATCTCGCGGGCCGGATTTAACCTGCTTGCAGGCCGGCTCCGGCCCGCGGGCCGCATATTTGACACCCCTGCTCTAAATGCTTCCTATAGCTTCCAATGAGAGAGTCTGGATTCTAGCTGAAGGTATTTTGGTCCATTCTTCTTTACAAAACATCTCTAGTTCATTCAGGTCTGATGGCTTCTGAGCATAGACAGCTCTCTTTAGCTCACTCCACAGAATTGCAGTAATATTCTGGTCTGTGGACTGAGATGGACGTTCCAGAGCGTTCTACTTGTTCCTCTGCATGAATGCCTCAGTAGATGTTGAGCAGTGTTTACGGACATTGTCGTGTTGAAAGATCCAGCCCCGGTGCAGCTTCAGCTTTGTCACTGATTCCTGGACATTGGTCTCCAGAATCTGCTGATATTGAGTGGAATGCATGCGTCCCTCAACTTTAACACGATTCCCAGTCCCTGCACTGGCCACACACCCCACACACCATGATGGAACCACCACCATGTTTTACTGTAGGTAGCAGGTGTTTTTCCTGGAATGGTGTTCTTTTTACTCCATGCATAACGCTCCTTGTTATGCCCAAATAATTCAGTTTTAGTTTCATCAGTCCACAGCACCTTATTCCAGAATGAAGCTGGTCTGTTCAAATGTGCTTTAGCAAACCTCAAGTGGCTCTGTGTGGGTGCCGTGGGCGGAGAAAAGTTCCTCTACATCACTCTCACATACAGCATCTCCTTGTGTAAAGTGCACTGACTAGTTGAACGATGCAGTGACTCCATCTGCAGAAAGATGATGTTGCAGGTCTTTAGCGCTGGTCTGTGGGTTGACTGACTGTTCTCACCATTCTATGATTCTGTTTATCTGACATTTTTCTCGGTCTGCCACTTCCAGCCTTTCTTTTCAGGTCATTTGAGAGTTGTTTTGAGACCCCCTTGTTGCTACTCTTTAGAGAAAATTCAAGAGGGGAGAAACCTACAATTGCCCCCCTTAAATACTCTTTCTCATAATTAGATTCACCTGTGTACAGAGGTCAAGGGTCACTGAGCTTACCAAACAAATTTCGAGCTCCAAAAATTTGTTCTAAATTTTTTGGAATCATTAAAATGACTACATAGCCTAATTTTATTTAGCAATTATTGCACACTTTCTGTAAATCTTATAAACTTTATTTCACTTCTCAAATATCACTGTGTGTCTCCTGCATGATAAATTTAACTGAAATTTTTTATCATAACAACCAACAATTTGTATTCGAAAGTCATGAAGATTAACAAGGCTGCCCAACCATTTACATCCCACACACATACAAGAACATGAGAAGCTAGAGAAGTACCAGGGCCTCAAAAAAGAATTTGACAAGACTGGAGATTGACGACATTGATGGTGCCCCTGGTCATCGGGGCACTCGGGGCAGTAACCCCCAGACGGGAGGAGCGGCTAAAGCAGATCTCAGGAAATACATCAGACATCTCAGTCCAGAAAAGTGCAGCTCTAGGAACAGCTGAGATACTGTGCAGAACCTTCAAGCTCCCAGGCCTCTGGTAGAGGACCCGAGCTTGGAAGGATGAGAGCACCCGCGGAGGGTAAGATGGGAATTTTTTTATATACGGAAATACCATCGCGCGAGGACAAACACATGCATGGGATGTACCACCAACAGATAACTGAAGTGACCGATATATATATATATATATATATATATATATATATATATATATATATATATATATATATATATATATATATATATATATAGTCTAATGCTTATTTTGTTCTAAAAGCAGACATTAATTTGATTTTAGGGCCAAAGTATCCGGTGGGAGGCACTAGTTTTTACGTTGTTCAAGTCCATTCTGGTCTAAGATAAACACTGGACATCGTTAGTTTAGTCTTGAGAGCGAAAGGAAGCAAATTGTGTGAGTACGTTCTTTTTGCTGAAGAAAAACAGTGAAGTGGACATCTTAGTATCGATGTAATGCACAAGGACTGTTTTAAGGAAGTTTGTACATTCTCTTGTCTCAAGGGCTCCTGGCAAAACTTCGTCTTTTTGTATCTTCTCCTTCCTCCCCCTTCTTATCTCTAAATGCAGTTTCCCATCTGTCTTTTGTCTGTTGCCTCACTTTTTTCACTAAACATTTTTCTTTTTCTTTCCTGATATTTTTTGCCTTTTTTATGCTCACCCACCACTCACATCTGCCGTGACTTGACCTCTTACTGTACCTTGCTCCATTCAATTGTCTATACTTATATATTTTTGTTGTTTTCCTGTTATTTCTTGATTTTTTTCTCTCCATCTATTTGGCTATACCTTTTCTCTCCCTTGTCTTTTTTTCATACTGTACTAACCCCCTCCCTTCAAGTTCTGTTACTTCTCCTCTTTTAACCTCACATGCCTCTTTTTGCTTAACCCCAATCCCCTGTTCTTATTCAATTTCTCTCCACTTTTGGACCCTAAACTCTTTTTTTTCTTCTCTCTTCTCCATCCCTTATTACCCCACCCTCTCATGCCATGGCTCTCTCCATTGATAACCCTTCTTTGTTTCCTTCCCTCTCCCTCTGTTTTTCCACTCTCCTTCCCCCTGTCTCTCTGCTTCTGCGGCCTACAGACGTATTTACCCCCCAGACGACAAGCTGCTGTTGGAAAAGTATGAAAGCCTGCTCTCGGCCGCCTTTCAGACCTTCCTCGCCGGGCGAGCTGCCTCACTTCAAAAGGAAATGAATAATCCTCTGAAACGAATGAAGGCACGTACATCAGTGGCAGCCTGTCACGGACACACACACACACACACACACACACACACACACACACACACACACACACACACACACACACACACACACACACACACACTACAGAAACCAGCAGAGATCCACACCTGAACACACACACACACACACACACACACACACACACACACACACACACACACACACACACACACACACACACACACACACACACACACACACACACACACACACACACACACACACACACACACACACACACACACACACACACACACACTACAGAAACCAGCAGAGATCCACACCTGAACACATACACACAACATTCAATCAACTATGGATGAGAAGAAGCAGAAAACATGCACACACACACACACACACACACACACACACACACACACACACACACACACACACACACACACACACACACACACACACACACACACACACACACACACATTTCTATTAAGATTCTGCTCACAGAGGTGAATGAGGATGTGCAAATAATGCAGAACGTGTCTTACAGTCCTTGATTTTTGTCTGAATGTTTGACAATATGTAGGAAGCACAATATGCGCCACTGCCCTACTGGTCATTCATACTCTTTTTACAAACATTTATTTAATTGTGCACAAGGTTTTAAAAGAAAATCAAATCCCACAGAACAGTCATTTGTTTCTTTAGTTCAGCGTTTTTCTCTTTTTGTCTGTCCTCTTTCTGTATATTTATAACAATTTATTTCCACGACAGTGTTAGTTTTGAGTCGCTGACAGCTGCTTCCCACACATAAATGCTTTACTCAATTTATGTTAAAGATCACGACATTGAACATATACAGTGCTCACACGTACACTTTTCACAATAGCTTAACAGGGTTGGGGTTAGTGTGTACATGTGCTGTGAATACCAAAGCCCTTTCAGTAGGAAGAGGAATAAAGCTTCTGCTAAACTGTTAGGGTGAAGGTGTGAGGACAAACGTCAAAATGAAAAAAGGTTGACGGAGAGATACGAGGATTGCACATTGGAAAGACGATGAAAGGTAGAGATAGTTGCTTTGTCACTTTTGTGTTTTCCATTGGAAATAGATTTTTAAACATTTTACAAAAGGGGACTTTTAGAGCCAATTTTTTGTCATCATGTCAGTTTAACGTGAACAAAACAATGACAACAACACACACACTAGGAGAGGAGCAACGAAAAGTATTCTTACACTAAAGCATCAATTAGGAGAAAAGCTGCAGATGAGAAAAGAAAGTAAGTACTTTGACAGAGTATTGACACTACAAATTCATATCACATCACTGTCAGAAACAGCTATTCCAGCTTCACAATGCCTACATTTGGTTTTTGACTTTTAGCTTCTTCTTTTTTTTAAGTGACTTTGTGTATTTTTCCTGGTGATGGGGACAGTAGATACCTAAATTGTTGCAAGCAAGCAGTATTTTTGTGTTGGACCTTACCAACAGATGCCCATTAAGGTGATAAAACCCTGGGGAGTGCCAACTTCAGCAAAATAACAAGCAGATCAGACTCCCTTTCATCACTGGCAACGAGTGAAGAGGTATATGTGTAAAACAACAACATTTACGAATGGCAAAAGTTTTGTAACCATTTGTCACAAATCATTAAATGCATTTTGTCCCCATGGGTTTCTGTAGTAAGAAACATGGCATCTAATATGGCGTCGCTCAGAGACTTAGACCCGTTCCCATGTATTTTAGACCAGATTTTTATGGTTATATGTTACAAAGTCACCAATATTTTTCAACAACTGGGCATCATTTAATTCATTTTGAACATTTTGACAGATATTTCCAGAAATTAATGGTAAAAAATACTCATTGTCTTTATAAGGTTTCTCTTTCCAGGTATAGAGAAACTTTACAGAGATATCAATCACAGATCGAGCTGAGGCGAAACACAGACATTTAATTTAGCCCGCACAGAGATGGGGATTATGTTCAAAGGAGAAAGGTAGCCTGAGATTAGGTCTGTTACTTCATATCTGGTCACACAATTGTGACTGACAACTGACCGGTCCTCTTTAAGAGCCATAGTGTGAGATAATGATCAGGACCATTTCTGAGAAAGAAAGGAGGTCCCTGAAGTTCAGCGTGATAATCATCACATCATGAATATTTTATTTTTAACTGGCATTTCCTTTTGTTTTTATACACTGTGTGTTTCTTTTATTGTCACAGTGGAGACAAAAAGTTCAGCCTGAGATATTTTGCTTGAGCTCAGCATCTCACACTGATTGTTATTATGGTGGGTCTTTCATGTTTACTTCTTGGAAGGGTGCAGTTTGCTTCAAGGTTGTCTGTCACATTCTTTGGAACATAGTATCTCATAAACATTTTGAGAAATGTACCCAAACAGTAGTTTCATCAACTCAGTGATGAACTAAATAGCTCTGTGGTTCTTGTAAATAAGTCTTTGCGTTCAGCTCACACTGATGAGATAACATTTTATAATAAAACAAAACCAGAAACTTTGGTTAAAAATGCTCTTTTGATCACAAGTCAGCTGATGGCAGAAACATAAAAGAATGTAAAGTGAATATTGATTTAGTAAAACTGCACCTTTAGTTGTAATTAAAACTAGTTACACTAGCATCACAACCCAAAAAACTTTTTTACTTACAATTAAAATTCAAGTTGTAAAGTTTGACTTTAATTGACTTGCACTTTTACATTAATACCCATATGACCTTAACTGAAATTAGAGCTCTTATGTGATAATTACCTGTGCAACCCTCTGGAGTTGGCGGTATAATTAGCCCTTTAGAAAAGTTTTAGTCTTCGCCTTTATATTTCACTCTACATTTGATTGTTTATACCTTGTTTGGTATCATTCTTTTCAGCACAACCTCACCTGTGTGAATTTAGTCATTTCATCATTTTGTCATACTGTGTTCGCACACTGAACCTGAAAGTAAACAAAAAAATTAAATAAATACAAGTAGGAAAAAAATTACTGTGAAAACCACAAACATTTGTGACGAACCATTTTCAGCACTCAGAATGAAACTATAGGGTGTAAGCAAAAAACAAAAAAGGTCAAATGTAGCAAACAACTGTTAAATGCAAGTTTTTTAGCATAAAATACAAGTTTTGTCTCAGGCGTTTTTCATGTAAAATTTCTGTTATGCTGAAAACGGAGTTCCACGCTTTTTGTCTACCTCTGCTACTTCAAAAATGTCCAGCAGAAGACAGGATCAGGTTTAGCAAGTCACAAAATTATATATATATATATATATATATATATATATATATATATATATATATATATATATATATATATATATATATATATATAAAGAAGGTGTCATGACCAGAAGCCACAGTTTATGTGTACCAAGCCTCAAAGTAACACCCAGTGGGTGTCCTTCTTGACTTTGTCCACCTGGAAGCAACAACAAGTGCACACCTAGCAACTATTTACGCATGATTTTGTGATTTGGTGAACTAATTATTAGTGATTTAGTCATGTGACTGGGTTCATATCTCAGCCTATAGCATGAGCTCGGTGTTGTTTTTATTCCTGACTTCCAAGTCCTAGGGTACTTCTCAATGTCAAGGCGATGTGTTGTGAGGCCAGGTGCCATATAAATATATAACAGGCCTTTTACTTTTTAAATTGTGTATATATTAGTTAAATATGTAAGCGAGTTACTACCTGCTAGCCACCGAAGCTGTAACTACTAAGCAACTAACCAACCATAAATAACTGCTTTGGATGTAAAAAAATAAATAAATAAAAACAAAAACCATTTCAGATATCTGCCCAATTGCTACAATTAGTTGACTTAGATTTAAACTTAAAATTTGCCCCCAAAGTAGTTGCCTGCTGCTGATCCCCTATCCTTCTGAATATACTGCAGTGTATTGGAAAGTGGGAAATTTTTTACCAAGGCTAGGCTACAAGACGCCTCCCATGTATCCTTGCTCAGCTAGCTAAACGGCTAACAAATGGAGAACAGATGCCTCGGTAGAACATAAACATTGGCACACGCCTTGGCGGTTGCTGATGACGTATATCCTAAGCAACCGGAGCGGGACCAAGACATCCAGGCAAGGGTATTTGGCACTGAGAAACACCCCTAGCTCAAAATTGTTTAGTTTTAAGCCCCTTTGTCAAAACGAGCTGTTATCATGACGCTAAGTGGTTTCCTGGTTGCATAATAACGGGAGTAATGCTACCAGCGAGCCATCACGCGCCGGTGAGTGGATTGACTCCAGAGAGAACATAACATGCAAAACTCACCTCACCTTTTACATCTCATGTTCTCAGGTGGGTCTCTACAGCCTCTATAAAGTCCAAATGTCACAAATCTTGCTTATTCATTTTCTGGCCAAGTTTGTTTTTAGTATTTTTGTGCCTAATACCAGCCATTTTAAAAGGTTCCCATTTCTGATGTCACAAGGGGTGTGCGTGCATAGAACCTCACCTCTCCAGGCTGTAGGAGAAGCTGCTCTATTGCGAGCCCCTCCTGGTTATCGGAGCTTCTCAGCTTATAACAGTTTGAGTGAGGATTGGTGGGCGTGGCCAGCTTCAGCTTGTTTTCCTAAAGTGACGGGGTCCTGAAACAGATTTTTCTGGAAGGTATGGAAAATGTCCAGAAAAAAAAAAACTGCTGAGATCGCTTTATGTGAGAGGGACTTAGTAAAAAAGAGCTTCATGAAAAGTGCTTTAACTATGACACCAACTAAATCCATCTCAAAACTATACAAAGCCATCTCTAGTGCCGGTGAGGCCAACACTTTTTATATCAAGGACAAATGGGTGAGGGAATTGGGAGCTGATATTTCCTCAGAGGAGTGGAGCAAAATTTGGTCTTTCCAGTGGTCAACGTCCAGCTCAGAGAGCTGGAGGGAACATGGCTGGAAGAATATTATAAGATATTTCAAAACGCCGTACCAGCAGAGATATCAAGGCACCCATACGCCGTGCTGGAGACAATGCGGCGCTACTGCTGCTAATCATTTGCAT